CATGCCTGCTCTGCTGCCTGCACGCGGGGCTACGGTGACCCGTCGGCTCGGAGCTGCCTGCGCACGCACACAATCGGGGGCCAGCGAGGACATCTTCCCATGCAGGGACAGGGACACACGTGCACACAGAGCTGGCACGCCGGGACTCACACCTCACAGGGACACACATGGGTACCCGTGCACAGACCTCACGCACGCCGGAGAGCCGCAGCTCCCGCGGCTTTCGGGACACACACAGAAGCCAAGAGACATTATGGCAGGCACTCACTTGGATTTGTTCTCCTCATAGTGAGCACTGGTCTTAATGTATCTGGCCAGTTCTATCTGCATATCGCCGAATAAAGGAACCACCTGCAGCTGCTGGAAAAGAAAACAAAAGATGGTTGGAAGACAGCGGAGAGAGAGCCCGTGGCCCCAGCGCAACACAAGGGACTAGGAAACAGCATCCTGTGTCTCTGAAGCTATGTAAGTGTCAGGCTGTTTAAAGCAAGGTGCAAACCTGGACTCAGGGTCATTTCACTCCTAGGAAGTGATTGAAAATGTTCACAAGGCTTTTTTTGTGCGAGGAAAATCACCCTCTGCGAGCGTTCTGGAGCCCTGGACTCACTGCTGTCAGGCTGGTTATGGCCAGTGCTGTAACCAGCCAGAGGAAAGGCTCTTTTCACAGCAAAAAGAGAAGCTCACCCTTTACATCTCAGGAGGATATGGATGGTAATAAATTCAAAGTGCACTGAACGTATCTCAAGCTCAGACAGGTCCCTGCTTCTCTAAGTTTTCAACTACAAACAAAATTCAACCAGGAGCTACCAAACAGCTTCAGTAAAATTTGAAGCTTCACACTTACTCAGCTACAAAAGCCCTGCCCCAAAATTCTGGGAATATGGTGGCAAATTCCCTGTCCTATTATCATGTCCTTCTCTTCTCAGGCTGGCTTGTATGGAGGATGTACAATGCTGTCTGTCATCAGGGATTCCCACTGGCGCTTTCATAAAAGGTTTAAATGAAGGGGTAGTTCATTTTCACTACTCAAATTCCTGGTCAATCCACTAGAAATTTAATCAGAAGGCAATAAGCAGATGTAGTAAGAGGAGTAGTTGGCCATTTCTTATTGAGAACTGATAGTCTGGAGTGGTACTTAACTGATTAGGTGAGACCACAGCAGATGCTGGAGAAGTGCAAACAGAAAAAAAGCTGGAAAGGAGAAAGTTATTCCAGGCAATGGAAGATATTTTACCTGATTTTCTGATGGCCCACAGCACTTTACAATGATCAGCAAATCTGTTTGAATGCAGCAAGGTGACCAAACCCTACAGATTACACTGAGGGCTTGATTTAAACTGAGATTCAGTTGAATTAGCAAGGCGGAACCAGGAAAAACTCGGAAGACCCGGAAGGATGGCGTGATAAATCATCTTTGCAGCGTTGCAGTCCTCTGCGGTGTCCCCAGTGAGAGAGTATTCAACCACCTCATTATCACCCCATCCACGAGGGAGGTTCCCCGTGGGGAGTTTGAGCCCTGCTCTCAGAGCTGTCTCCAGGAGATGATGGAAATTGGAGTATATAGGTCTCCACTAAGTCAGAGTGAGGATGCTGCAGCTGCTACACCAACCTTCCATGAACCAGGTATCTGGGCCTGCCCATCCCCTCCCCTTGCACAGACCCAGCACATCATCTATAACCTGCAAGCTGGACAATAAGCAGGGAGGCAGCCTGTACCCTGTCACCACCAACCTTGTCTTTTAGGCTCCTCAGCAGCTCTCTGGGTAAAGCAGCAGGGAGAAGCCACTCTGCTGAGAGTGATGGGGAAGGAGTGCTCTGTGACCCCCTAGAAATCATCATTCTCTCCTTTTCACTAACGTGGAGCACATGTTAGTAACAAAAACTAATCTTTCCATCTCAGAAGGACTGATGAAACTCAGCAAGTCTAAAAGAAAACTAATTGCTCCATCTGGGAAGTTATTCTGCTGTCCTGCTATACTATTATTCTTTGCTGCCAACGTGTTTGCTCCTTGCTAGATCCCACCATGCCTCTTGGAGCTGACCCACCCCAAACCTGAGATGCCTCCTAGACCCAGCCTGTGCCCAGGAGCAATGGAAGGAGATGTCATTTCCCCTGCAAATACCACAGGCAGTGCCGCACGGGGTCTTCAGCCCCCGCTTTGTCTGCCACCAGTGGCTGGCGGCTTGCACACACACCACATTTTGGGGGGAAGCAACAGGGTTATTCCAAAGACTTCTTGTGCTAAGTGGCCCTGGGGCAATGCAGCCAAGTCGACAGCTCCAGACCAGCCATGGGCTGTACATGTGTGTGGGCAGGGGGAGGCTGCACGGCTGCTTCCCACCCTGTCACTGGGAGCACCTGGTTCTCACAGGTCCTTCCCCAAAACCCAGATCTCAGATAAGACAAATATGGTTTATGAAACCACCACATGAGCCCTTTGAGGAACTCACTGAGCACCTCCCAGTTCCAGCTGACACAAGCTCCCCAAGCAGCTTTTTCTGTCCTACAGAGAGGACAGTTTATACACAGAATAAGACTGCCAGATCACACAATAGCTGGCTAGCAGTGTCCCCATCCCTCAGCTCAGCAGCTCACTGAGAGAAAGGGGAGTACAACCATCACCACCTCAGCAAACCAGCCAGTGACCTGAAATAACAGTGCTCCTCAGGAGACTGCAAACCTGCCTCAGAAACGTGCAGAGATAGAAGCGATGTCAGTCTGGTGTGCCTTGCCCTGGTCCACAAAACAGACCTCCCATGCGCTGTCCCCATCCCTGCCCCTTGGCAGGATGTAGGCAGAGTTGCAGCAGCAGCCAGCTGCCCAGCAAGGACGTGCAGGGCCCTTGGCTCCCACTGGCTCCCCAGCTCCAGTGCCAGCAGCACGGGAGCAGAGCCAGCCCCAGGCACCGCTCACACATCCGCAGCCTGGCTAGCACCACGGGTCGGCATCGCTCGTCTCACCCATGCTGCAGCTCTGTGCCCATCCGCGTTCACAGCAACCCCATTCTTCATCCTTCCGCCTAGATAATTTTTCAACCCTTTCAGTTTTTTGGCCCTGTAAGTGATTCCTGCAGTTTGTTTTTTGCTGGCAGCACATGCAAGGGTATGGGTTGTGAATTCACTGGTCTGTAATACACTCCAACCTCACCCAGACAGGTCACTGACCTTGAAGAATTTGTCTATTTTGCTAAGGTTGATTCTCTTCTTGGCGTCCAACTTGTAAATGTTGCTGACATTCCCATCCATGAGATACAGGCCAAACCCCATCACCTGGAGAAGACGGAAAGGCTAGGTTTCATTAGGGTGAAGTCAGCAGCACAAGCCAAAGACAGCTCTCCATCACTTTGCAGTAGTAAAGACCATTTCAGGCTGCTGTACCACCTGACACTCATGAGAAGACTGTATAAAATGTGCACACATCTGCAAGTATGTACATGGCAGACAGAGGACACAGGATGGATTGATTCTGTTCAAATCATTACAGATATTAAAACTACTCACATTATCCTTCAAAGAACCTTAGTTGACTCACACTGTGGTAATAAAGTTCTTACAGTAATAGTGACTGCAATCACTGTAATAACTGACTTACAGTAAGGACAAATATACAGAACAAGAAGATACTTTGGCATGTTCATCTTGAGGGTTCTTTACAGTCAGGAAACCTAACGTAGAAGGATCTGCCTTCTGCAGGGAATTATTGCTGGGAATGGGCATTAAGCAGAAAATTCAGGGTTGCAAAGCTGGTGGCGGTTTTGGCATGTCCTGTAAGGTTATCCAGCTCAAGCCCATGATCTCACACATCCATGCACAGCAGAAAACCCCCTTCTCGCTCTGGAGAATGCAGAGTGCCCAACAGTGTGTTCATCCACCAGCTGGAGACCACCACCACACACATGCTTAGTCCCAGGCAGGCAGCGCTGCTGGCAACCTTGGGAAGGACTGGGGGGAAAGATAGACATAGAGATGGGGAAGAGCAGAGGAAAGCGATAGATTTTTTTATGGGAATGTGGGAGAAGGCCATAAAGGACAGGAGAGAAATAATGGGAGAAGGTCCAAGTTAAAGCAGGAACAGAGGCAGTTCATGGCAATGCCTGACAGAGGTGACACTTCAGAGGACTGGCGTGGGACATCTCCAACCCATGGCCATCAGCTACGAAGAAGAGGTGAAAATGCGAGGATTGAGGTATTGCAGCAGAAGACACAAAGTAACAGCAATCAGAAGGGCAACAGGATCAGGAGGAGGGCAGCTTTGGTGCTGCATGCAAAGAGCCTTCCCATCTCCGCCACCCGAGTGTCCAGAGGACGCTGGCCCTGCAGCGAAGGGATGCATGTAAACCCAAAGGAGCAAAAAATAAAGAAAATGAAGAGAAACTGTCCCAGGAGGGAATTTCATTTTACTAAAACAAAAGTGAAACTATGCAAGCACCCAGCCCCATAAGCATGGCCGAATCTCACCTTTAAGAGCATGTGTTTCTCACTGGGAGTGAGGTACATCTTGTTTTCATAGTAATCCACACAGATGTTGACAATATCAGCCAGCAATTCCTCATAGCCAGGGATAACCTCTAGTTGTTGGTGCAGACACTGAAACATCAACAGGGGCCACATTACCCACATGGACAGAGGACAGCAGGAACCAGGGACAAACACGTATGAAGGATTCAGAGTAGAGTGATAAGAGGTTTCTTCAAACCCCATCTGTGTGCTTTTAAGTTACAGGCAGAAGATTGACCTCATAGTACCACTTGTAAGGAACAACCTTCCTTCTGCAGGACAGCTCTCCCTTTCAGACTGATCACAACAGCCAAATGTCAGATGGTGAGATGTAAGGAAAGATGCTTCAGAAGCAGAATTTCTGACTCTCTGCTGTCTCTATGAAATATTTTGCCTAATGAGCAGAGTCTACAGAGCCTGCAGAGCATGGAGGGTCCTGGCTCTAATCTGCAGTCCCCATGCAGTCACAGGGACGGACTGGATGGATTTACTGGGGAAAACAGCAGAAGAGTTTCTGGCAGAAACCCCTCCTGAGAGCTGCTCTTGCATCTTTTAGACCTTCACTCTTGTCTTGACACAGAGACCTTTAAAGCCACCCAGGATGACCCAGGAGAAGGAAATATTGCTAGAACCATCAGAGGTCAGTGGCAATGACCCAACAAAGAAGGCAGCTATCGCCACAGTCCAGTCTGAAGCACGCTCAGCCCTGGTGAGATTGTGGCTGCTCTCTACCCACAGAAAGGTAAGTGGTTCAGAGGAAAGGGACCTACCTGTGTGATGCGGTTGTGGTTCGCCAGGAACATGGAGAGGTTCTGGGACTCCTGGATGGACTGGGGGTCTGCCATCTTCCGCAGAAATTGGGCAGCTCTGGAAGAGAAAAAAATCAACATCTCGCCGAGGATCACTCACCCAACGTGAGACCCTCACCCCCCCGTCTTCCCTGTTTCACCTGCAGCTGCAATGCAGCAGACTCAGAGCTTCCCTGCTGCAGAGCTCTGCTCTTTCCTCATTTCCAAGAGGGAACCAAAACACAGTGGGGCTCAGAGATTTGCCTCAACTCACAGAGTGCCTACAACAGTGCAGAAACCCATCCTCCAGCCTCCTCATGCCCCTGACCTCACTGCTGGGCAGACCAGGCACAGTCCTGGTGCCGCTCCCGCTGCTTCACCCCCTCTCACCTTTTGTAGGCGGAGTGGTCATTTTTGACACTGCACTTCATGTTCTTCAGCTCATCCAGGACGGCAAACATGTTAATGAACTTGCCGAGCGTGAGGAGATAGGCCTCAGAGACAAAATCCTTCCTCCGCTCAGCATGGCACAGACGCTTCACCTCGCTGCAGAACCGCTCAATAGCCTTGCGCTGGAAAGCATGGGACAGGGGCATCTCAGCAGCAGCTCACGTGCAGTCACCACGCCACGATGGGACCCTCCTCCACCACCCAAAAGCATTTTTCTGCTGGGGATCAAGGCTCCATGGTCCCTCTCCACTGTCGCCATGAAACAAAGCAGCATTACAAACCACTGCAGACATTCTCCAGTGCTGCGGGGGAGCTCAAAACCCTCCGTTTGTGCCTGCCTCAAGTGCAGCATGTTCTGCAAAACCAGGCTTCAGTTTTTCAGGTGGTGCATAAAGATCTCATAGGACATAAAACCTAAAAATGGTGGTGAAACGCAGCTGCAGGCAGTTATAAAAGCAGGTGGTGATGGGAAGAGGTCCCTGGAGCCCATGCCAGCTCAGTGTTTGCCACATGGTCATTGCTCTGCTGGGATCTAAGCGTGTTATTTTGTCAAGTGCCCCAAGCATAGTGACCACTAAATTTAAGCTTTGGTGCTCTTTGCCAGCTGATCCCTGAGTTTAGGGGCCTGTGAGCACCTCCCTGTTCCCTCTAGCACAGCGGGAGGGTCTCTGGCTGCATCCCACCCCAGGCACCAGCTGTACCACCAGCCCTCTCCTCTTCCTGGCTTTCAAAGAGCAGGAGAGCGAGCTGTGCTGGTGCCGAGGGAGAAAGAGCTCCTCAGGTCCACCAGCCAACAGCCCAGAACAACAGGAGCCTGTGCCACCCATTAGCTCCATAGTGCGGGGGCTCTGGTCCTCCATGAACTTCAGAGGCTTGGGTGTGCGCATTCCCAACTCGTATGCAAGAACTCATGGCTGAGCAAGGGGGACAAGTTTTCCTTCAGACAGGTCTCGGGTTTCTTCTGGTGGCTCCAAGGAAAAGACCTATCAGGGTGCTCAGGGGCTCTCCAAGCTGGCCTGGCAGGCACAGATATCACAGCCCTGCTTAGGATAAGTTAACAGCAGATTAATAAATTATTTTTGCCTCTATCCTTGATCACTTACCTGAAAATACATGAACTTCATAAGCTTGGTGACTTCTGGCTCCAGGACTTCCACCGTCTTCTCATAAATCTCCACTCGGTTTGGCTGTTCATTACATTTCACCTACATTGCAAAGACAAATGCTCCTCGTCAGCATCGGAGTTCCTAACACGGCTGCGGACCGTGATGGCCACCATCCCCTGCGTGTTTCACAGTGAATCCTGTCCCTGTTTGAGGACAACGGAGGGACCCAAGAGGGAGCTTGCTCTCAAGGCAATAGGTGATGGCAGAAGGACCTGTTTCTCAGGTGTGGAATTCTCTCTATGTATTATAAACAGGCACAATCCTGACTCTGAGAAATAAAAATCTTGGAATGCATTTGTCTGGGGTAGAACACATGCAATACGGGGTCTGGACTTGCTGCATAATGTGGGAATGTTCTACCATAAAGTTACCAGAGACTGTGTGTTGCAAATTCCCATGGACACTAGGCTATGGCTCTGCTATAGCCTCACTGGGATAATTTTGGTTCTGTTGCTGACATGTTAAAAATCACTAGGCTTGTATGTGGCTAGCAACAATGAAGTGAGTCACCCTCACTAGAATCCTAGGAAGCTAAATTTAAGGACTTATTCAGTTGTCATCCATCTAACTTCCAAACAGTTACTTGGAGTCATTACCAAACTTTTAGGGAAAATCCCAACTGGCCCAGGCAATGCATCCTGCTGTCTTCCTCTGGTTTTGTTTCCAGTTGTTGCTGACACAAGGCTGTGATGGGACTGACAGCTCTAGTGCAAATTTAGTAGCCCAGCAGCTGATCCACAGGGCACAAGGGGACAAATGAGCTAGCTTTACATGTGGGAAGATGCAAAAGTATCTGCCCTCTCTGTAGTGGGGAATCTAATGTCCCTGCCCTGGTGTTTCAGGCAATACTGATGGCCATGAGGATGCAGCTTGCAGCAGGGAGGAGCGGTGCACATTTCGGTGTAGGGTCTGTTCGTAGAATCACAGGATGGTTTGGGTTGGAAGGGACCTTAAAGACCATCTAGTTCCAACCCCCCTGCCATGGGCAGGGGCACCTTCCACTGGACCAGGTTGCTCCAAGCCTCATCCAGCCTGGCCTTGAAGACAGCCAGGGATGGGGCATCCACAGCTTCTCTGGGCAACCTGTCCCAGTGCCTCACCACCCTCTCCATGAAGAATTTCTTCCTGATATCTAATCTAAGCCCCCCCACTTACAATTTGTTCCCGTTCCCCCTTGTCCTGTCACTACAGGCCCTTGTAAAAAGTCCCCTCCAGTGTTCTTCCTCTGTAAAACCGCAGTCCCTGATGTAGCAGAGGGAGTTGTACAAGACAGAGCAGCCAGGCTGGGGGCTGCGGACAGGACCCCCCTGGCCACAGCCACGTGCCCCATGGCAATGCACAGGGGTCACTGCAAGGTCCAATCTGGTGAATGTATAAATGACCCCTCTGCTGTGGTGTCTGGTTGCTCCATCACACATGGCATTGCCTGCAGCCCTGGGGGGAGGTCAGGGCAGAGAGCAGGGACCCCACAAGCTGCGCTTGGAGAGGCACAAATGTCATGGGGGCGACTGGGATGGGAGGACACTAAAACACCAAAACAGATGATCTGTAGCACTGTTGTGCGATCAGCTGAGCATCGCCCTGCCTTCTGTTAGTGTAGCCAGGAGGGGCAACAGCAGCACAGCATCAAATACAAATGGGAAATAAGCAAATCGATGGCAGAAATCTCCCCAGGGCTGCATCTTATGATATCGTCAGCAGAGTATAACCCGAGGGGAGCTGAGGTTTGACCTTTCCCAGGGAATTACGAACATGGGCATTGTCAGCCACATGGAAATACTTTTTTCTGGCCCCATGGAAGCGCTGCAGACCCTTTTATCCGTAGGGTTAATGGAACTGCACTGCACCCGCCCTGACGCACTGTCAGCCGGTGTTTTTGCAGTGGTCCAGCACGTGTTCACACTGTGGAAGACAAGCTCTGAGCTGGAGTCTGAATCAGTGGGACACGTGGGCAACCTTATTCATGTCTGTAGGTGTTTGCAGGATGAAGGCACTGAAATTCAGGTTGGAGAGAAAAGGACTAGAAAACAGCTGAAGCAGAACTAAGAGTAGAGGAGAAGACATCAAGTGTGGGGGTATATCAGGGCCTTCAGGTATATCAGCAGCAAAAAAGGGCATTTGGGAAAATGTTTCTGGCATACTGAAGTGCTCCTACATGCATCCTCGCACCACACCTACAATTCAGGGGCTCCCAAGGGAGCAGAGAGAACAGCCCAGAGTCTGGGGCAGCAGTGTGGGATGCCGAAACCTGCCCCAGCTGCCTAATCTGCTCTGTGAAAGTCAGGGAGAGCTTCGGCCTGCCACATCTCTAGAGGACTTGCTGTTTTCATCCCAGGCTGCCTGGGCTCCCTTCTTCAGACAATGCAAGAGTCCCACTCAGCACCGGGGCTATTTTGAACTGAAGCTGAAGTTCCTGATACCATGTAATGGTATGATACCATACAATTGTATGAGGAAAGCGTGACATAAACCACATCCAATGATTTTGCTCTCAACTTCCAAAACCAAACTGCCTTCGTCTGAAGCAAACTCCATCCCCCCACAACATGAGAAAGAAAAATATTTGGGCAGCACATCAGGAAGGAAATAACCACGCTGCTTTAATTCAAGCAGACTACCCAGCCTCAGACAGAGAAGTGGATAAAGACCCAAGTGACAAAACACAGCACTACCCCAAGTACCGTGCTGGACCACAGCTGTGCTCAGTTGAGCCCTGTTAGCAGCTGTAGGACAAAGAAGCTGCGGGGATGAAACAATTTCAGGAATGACTGCTTTGGGAAGCAGCGGAGGGGCTTGTGAAACAAAATAATGTATATAAAGCAGTCGACTTAGAGTGAGTGTGACTGAGCTGGGGGCCATCAGGGATGGAGCGGAGTGCAGGGATGGAGCATCAGATTGCAGGGCAGATGCCCTTTGCTAGGGCAGCAGTACAGATCTGCTTCTGAAACAGCTACCAGCTGCTGAGTGGTTGAGACTTTGGTGGGGAGAGGACAACTTGAAGAGTTGGTGGTTTCTCTTTTCAACCTTTCTATCTGCTTTTTTGTTCTTCTGTCTCCAGTCCAAACTAACCCCCATTGAAAACAAAACTTAGTAGGTGCTCTGGGAACATCCCTGCCTGGGAAGGGCTGGAGTACCTGGGGGATGGCTCGTGAGCAGCTCCTCCATGTGTAAAGCATCACAGCGTACTCGTGGCCTTCTTCCAGCATTTCATTCTGAAAAACAGAGAGGTGTTGCTGGGGCAGGGCACACACCGCAGGCTCAGCATCACTGGGGCAGCACCCAGGGGACTCACCATGCTGGAGTGCACCGTCGCTTGCTCGATGTACCTGGCAATGCCGGTCACAAAGGCATTTCTGTCTTCAAAGTTGGTGTCAAAATTAGCCTATGGGTGAAAGGGAGAGAGGGGGATTAAAATACAGCTAGTTGGTTGCTCCCCTGATACAGTCCAGAGTGGGGTGTGTTGGCAAACAGCAGAAGCAGTAGGGCTCCTGGGGCATGGGAGCAGCTTATGAACAATTTGAGGTGCTGCACCTCTGCGTCTGAAGTAGATTCATACGTGCAGCCTGAGATGCTCCTGAATCACACGTTTCTTAGGGGAAATCCTGCAGATTATATGTGGGAAAATACGGCAATCACAACTGACAAACCCTTGTAAAAATCAAGGCCAACCAGGTGAGGATCGGTTGGAATTGCAGCCACACCAGAGAGTGAACTTACAGCAATTATTCTAAAGATTTTAGCTTGGTAACTCAAAGACAGATGCAGCCTCATTAATTTCTATTTGTGCCCTGGCTGCTAGGGGAAGTCAGGAATCGCAAAGAATAAACACACAGAAAGGGCAGGGAACAAGATGTCTAGAAAACATAAATATGAACGTCAGCACTCATCCAGACGTTATTATCAGCGCTAGTGTTGCTCCTGCAAGCAGATGCTCTGGGATGAACAGTTGTTCTGGAAGCTGAGCTACTGCTTTGGGATGGAAGAGGGGAGTAAGTCAGTGCAAAGCAGGGCAAGGGATGAAAAAGCAGCTCCTCAGCCTCCCTGCACCAAGTGCCTGCTCACACACTCTGCGTGCGAGTAATTTCCTCTGCAGAGGCTGGCTGATGGTATCTGCTGGAGGGCAGAGCATACGGAAGTCCCAGGCGCCCAGAGCTGCTCCTTGCTATGACATTAGCATCGCCGCTACTGCGTTCACCTCAATAATTGATTTCCTGAGTAGGAAGGCCGGGAGCACAGACCCGTGGCCGCAGGGCTACTCTTCTCAGTGCCTCCATGACATCACATGTGACAAGAAAAGCTGAGGCTGCAGATGCATTTCTGGCTAGGAGGGGAGAGGGCTATACACAAACCAAGTATGAGGAGGAAACAGGTTTGGCCAATATCTCTAGTGCCAGTTTAGATGAGTTTTTTTTAGGCCCAGCAGTATGCACACACTCATGGCCCTGAAAGGATGCTGTGCCATAAGGCTGGACCCTGAGACCCTCACAGGACACAAGCCAGCAAAGATTAAAAATGATTTAAAGAGGAGATAAGCAAAAATGATATCAAGATTTTGAGAGAGCTGAAATTTGAGCAGCCCACAACCGCCTTTGGGTCTGATAGCCCGCAGAGATACCAACACTACTGAACGAGCCCACAGTCTGACCTGCTGAAAGAGACACTGTAATTTCAGACCCCTGTGTGCATGGCACAGCAATCACTGTGCGGGTGTATTTATACACCGCCACGGGTAAGTCATGAATTCCAGATTGGCAGGATGGAGAAAGTAACCCCATATTATATTTAACCCTGGGTGTGTGCTATGGGGCAGGGTGTGGTGGCCAAGCAGCCGAGGCATCCCACTGTGGATCCGAAAGCAGGAGGTTGAGCCCTGCCCTGGGCTCATGCCAAGCTGTGCTTGGCCAGTGCAGCTGCAGCTAAACCTGTGGTTGTTGAAGGCTGAGAAGCGATTGTAGCGCCTGCCTCGCGTGCCATCAGCTCCCCAGACCTCAGCTCCAGCTATGCAAGAGGCACAGGGTGGCCAAAGTCAGGCAGAACTTTGATTTTTAGATGCATACACTACCATAAAAAGGAAGCATAGAAATGTGTGCATAATAAAACATCACTGAGAACTTTCTGCTGTTATCACAAATCTAATCTCCTGCTTCTTACCCATTCATGCACTCTGGTCCTCATTTTTAACTTCCTTATGTCTTGCTCAGCCTTAAAGATCCTTTTTACCAATCTCTAGTGCTTTCCTTTCAAAGCCTTTGGGAACAGATCTGTGGCTAGATCTGAACATTTCCTTAAACATAGTGAACTCAGGATGTTTTCAGCTAGTTCTCAGAGCACCATGTATCCCTGTGCTTTGCATAAGCTACCAGAACAACCCTCCCTGCCCCACCATCCCTGGGAGCTGAAGGTACCTGGTACATGATGGAGGATGGCGGCGGTTCGATGCATGGCTGCTGGTCTGGCAGAGGCAGCTCCTCCAGCAAGTCCACGTTGGACAAGGCATCCTCTAGCGTGACGTGAGTGGTCATGGTTCTGGATGTTCAGTTTCCACGCTAAATCCAAAGGAAAAGAGCGGGTGATAGACAGACAGACAGCAGACAGACCAAGTGGGTAAATGCCGCAGGACAAAACTGGAGCCACGACTGGCTGGCACTGGAGGAGACATGATCCTGGTTTAGCCTGTTTTCCTCTTCTTGTGTATTTAACCTACATCTCTATGTCATCTTTCCTTCTGTGACTCAGCAGCAGAGTAGGAATGTAGAAGATGATGAACACAACTACCCACCCATGCCTTTCTCTGCTTAACTCTATGCAAAACTGCTTAAGACAGAAAACAGCTGGGTGCTGCAGTGCAGCGTTAGCAGCCCCGAGTGAAAGCCTGTGCTCAGAGATGCAAAGCGGTGCTATTAAAAATACCCCTCGAAACAGCATGATTAAAGAAGTATGACCGATGCTGACACTCACATGCTCTCCTTCTCACACACATGAACGGCGCTGGAAGCTGTAAACAACAAATTGCACTCTCAAAGGTGAAGTGGAAAGGATCGAGTGCTGTGTAGGCAGGCTGTGGCACTCCAAGCAGCAAAGAAGTTTCTGTTAAAAAAGAATTTTCCCTGGTTTACCACATAAGCAGTGTCCCCAGCCCAGCCTCAGCCTGCTGTGGGGCTGCCAACAGTGCCAGCTACATGTGAAATAAAAAGCAAAGGGAAATGTTTCTGAAAGCTCACTGGCACTTACCCCAGCGGGTACCTCTGGACAAACCTCTCTATGTCCCTTAACTCCTTTGCCATCCACCCTTGCCGTAAGAACACAAGCATGGAGTGACAGCTGCTGTCACCCAGTCTGAGCGCTTGTATAATCACAGCCACGGGGCTTCCCCAGTTAATACCTGATCCACGTGCAATAGCTGTGGCTGACCTAGGGCTGGTATCTCTTAGAAAAACACCCCGCTCCATTTAAACATTTGCAAAGAGAGACCTTGCTTTCAATATTTGACATGTCATTCAATTAGCAAATCACCCCCCCCAGTGCTTTTTTCCCCACTCAGAGCTTGTCTGGTTTCAAATGTAACCTGCAAGACAGTAGAGCTCTCTATTATCAAAGTTCCCATCAAGATACTCACACATTTCAATAAAACACCCTTGCACCTTCGCTTTGGCTCAGGCGAGCAGGCTGAGCTCTTTGCCTGCCTTGTTACAGAGCGTCTTCTCCAGTCCTTCAATCATCTCCTTGGCTTTTCTCTAAACTTGATCCAATTTTGTAACTTTTTTTGCAGAAGTGTAGACACTGTAGCAGGTCACACTGTGTAGTGTCCGCACAAGTGCCAGATACAGCAGCAATGCAGGCTTCCTCCTTATGTACCATCACACTGGCCTCTTTGGTCGCAACTGCAGCTCGATAGGCACTTGGATCAATCCGATTATCTGCTACAAATCCTTTAGGTCCTTTTTTTTTTAATTAAGTCACTGTCTCCAAGAATGTAAGTTTGCTTTTCATTTCCAGCACGGGGAGCATGGAAGGACAATGGCTTTGTGATGTCCATAGGTAGACACACATGCACACAGCAAGGTCTACAGCCACGGGGGATGCACACTGTGTGCAGTCCTGGGGCAGCTTCATGGTGGGAGACAAGAGGGACAGGTCTGCTGTTGTGCCTTTTATCATCATTGCTGCCTGCACACATGAGCTGCAAGAATATGTATGAGCCTGGTAAAACCCATTCCACCTCCACAAATGCCTCCCCAGGGTACCAGGCAGCTGAGAAACAGGCTTGGTTACACCTGCAGCTGAAGCACCATGAAATAAGTGCCT